ATCCTGGTCCAGACCAGTTCAGACCGGAGGGTGGGACGGGAGAGGATCCTGGTCCAGACCAGTTCAGACTGGAGGGTGGGATGGGAGAGGATCCTGGTCCAGACCAGTTCAGACCGGAGGGTGGGACGGGAGAGGATCCTGGTGTAGGGTTCCACAGTCCAGGAGGATGATTGACGCCCCCACTCAAGAGCCGACATCGGCTCCAAATACCAAGAAGTGCTGCTTGTGATATGTCTGAAATATGCAGATCACCACAGCCACAGGCACAGAAAGAGAAAGAAAGTTCCTCACATTGAGATGAGTCCCCATCAATGAACACAGTTCAAAGCTGGGTGGCCACAGGTGTCCGGGACCACCCAGGGTCATTAGGGAGGAGGTTCCCACCTCCGTGTGGGACAGAAGAGGAACCCCGGGTCCTCCCAGGCAGGGAGGGGTCAGGGCTCTGGGTGGGGCTGGAAGCTGTGGCTCCCCCTCCCCTGTGTGTGTGGACAGGCGTTGGGGGGTCTCTGCTCACTGACTGGAGTCCACAGTCAGCTATCAGCCCCTCCCCTGTGTGTGAGAAACAGATTCAGTCCACAGTTCTCAGACATGGGCGTCTGCCCCACAGGTGAGTGTGAGGCTGGCACTGGTCCCATCCCTGCCGGGCACAGTCTTGAGCTGACGCTAAGTTTGGGAGAGTGGGGCAGGAGCAGCGGCAACAATCCCCTTCATCAGGCTGATGCCTGGACAGCTGTGGGAGAAACCCTTCGTGAAAGGCCAGGTGCGTGGGAGGAGAGCCGCCCCACAGGAATGACAACCATATGAGGAAAGTTGTCGAAATGCATTAGGTAGACATTGTGAAGCTGAAAAACTATATTAAATTAACACCATTAAAAAGGAATTTATGTCTGAGCGTGGTAGCTCATGCCTGTAATCCCAGCACTTTGGAAGGCAGATGCGGGCAGATACTCGAGGCTAGGAGTTCCAGACCAGCCTGGTTAACAGGTTGAAACCCCATCTCTAATAAAAATATAAAAAATTATCTAGGCGTGGTGGTGAGTGCCTGTAATCCCAGCTATTCGGGAGGCTGGGGCAGTGGAATCTCTTGAACCTGGGAGGTGGAGGCTGCAGTGTGCTGAGATCACGCCAATGCACTTCAGCTGGGACAAGAGGGAAACTGTGGGCCGGGTGCAGTGCCTCACACCTACAATCCCAGCACTTTGGGAGGTCGAGGCGGGCGGATCACCAGGTCAGGAGATCGAGACCATCCTGGCTAACACGGTAAAATCCCGTCTCTACTAAAAATACAAAAATTAGCCGGGCGTTGTGGCGGGCGCCTGTAGTGCCAGCTATGGGAGGCCGATGGCAGGAAGTAATGGTGTGAACGCTGTGATGGCGGAGTTGCCATGAGCCAAGAATGTGCACCACTGCACTCCAGCCTGGGTGACAGGCGTGATCCCGTCTCAAAAAAAAAGCGAAACATGTGTCTCAAAAAAAAAAAAAAAGTCTTTACTTAGCCTTTATATACCTTACTATGCAACATACAAATCAGAAACATAATTTATCCAGGGACAAGGGCAGCTGAAATAGTAAATATTATACATTAGGTAAAATTTCATTTAATTTTCATACTGTATCCCGGGAAAGAGCAGAAATTGACAATACAAATATTAATATATACAGGAAGTTGGAATGGAAGAAGAAGTGTTTGTACGGTTTCAGATGAAGAAAGAAGAAGGATGTTTAGTTCTACGATATGCATGAAGCTAATGGTTGAATTTCTATAGAACTGAGAGAAACAATCGTTCTACTAAATTTTAGTATCTCGTCATGGTAAAGTGAAAAACATTGAGGCATCAATTTAAATAAACCTAAAACTACCAGAGAAAATGTAAATGACCCTTGAATGAATGGAAAGCTCATCGGGCGCTGGAGTTTGAAAAGCAAACAGCCGCCCCCAGGAAGATACGGGAGAACCAACCACAAGGGCTTAATTGTGAGGAGAGGAGTCTGTGCTGGGCCTAGTTATTATATATAGTATTATTTTTTTTTATTATTATTTTTTTTTGAGGATGGAATTCGTTTGTTGTGCAGGTGAGGTGCAATGGGCGATCTTGTCTCACTGCAACCTGCCTCGTTATTATTAAAGGACTAAAGTTTCAGAGTCAGGCTTCTGGATAAATCCTAAACGAAGGAGACTCGGGCATTTATTGTGAGTTATCAGTCAGGCGGTGGTCTTATGAGGTAGTAAGGAGAGCGTTTTTCAGTGTCCTTTTATCAGGTACCACGATAATAACAGAGAAAGAGAGAGATTGAGACAGACAGAGAGAGATGGAGAGACAGAGAGAGAGAGAGATATTGAGACAGACAGAGAGAGGGAGAGGGAGACACAGAGAGAGAGAGAGAGAGACAGAGCCAGGCATCGCTGGAGCTGCAAGGCTGCAGATATGTTTGCATCTAGGCCTTTTCTGAAAGCCATACTAAAGATGTAAATCAGGGAGTGGAATAATAAACCCCAAATGGAGAAGATGAGATGCTACTGTGAATAAAAGAAGTCAACAGTATATATGAAAAGCTAATAAGCATAGATCTATCTGTAATCTGTGTATATACAAGTATATACATTTCTACTAAGAATCTGAAAGAGCAAGGAAATGGATTTGCGTCTCTGGAGCCTCCAGAAAGGAATGCAGCACGTTATGGCCTTGATTTTGTCCTAAAAGACCTGTTCAGAATTCTGATATTCAGAACTGTGAGATAATGAGTTTGTGTTGCTGAAGCTGTTCAATATGTAGTAATTTGTTATGGCAGCGATAGCAAACCAATACGAACACAAACAACCTTTGAAAAGAAAAATAGTTGATATTTCATAATTTTAAATCAACAGTCTGTGAAGAAGAGAAAGTTATACACTTTCACTCAACCAACCACATGTCCTTAAAATTTACAATTTACAAAGCATCAATTGAGACACAATGGAGGATTTGAAGAAATATTGATCAGACTTTGATAGATTAAGTGAACAAAATATTTGTGAGAGTTGAATGGCACAAATATTCAATCTGATGCGCATTTATGATGTTTCGATTGTTTCTATATATTGTAAATTTGTATAGAAACATTTCTGGAATATACATATAGCAACAAAGTGGGAATGTGTATTTCTTCATATATTTCTTTTTGAAACAAGTCTCTCTCTGTTGCTCCATCTGAAATACAATGGCACTATCCCAGCTCACTGCAGCCTCGACCTCCCCAGGCCTAGGTGATTCTCCCACAACCATCTCCTGAGTAGCTGGGACTACAGGATCATGCCACCTTGCCCGGCTAAATATTTTTAATATGTATTTTTTGTAGAGACAAGGTTTCGCTATGTTGCCCAGGCTGGTCTCAAACTCCTGGGCTCACAGGATCTGGCCACCTTGGCCTTCCAAAGCGTTGGGATTACTGGCGTGAGCCACTGTGCAAGGCCAGGAATACTTACTTATGAAAACATATTGATCAGAAATATCTATCTTTTTTTTTTTTGGAAATGAAGTCTCGCTCTGTCGCCAGGCTAGAGCACAGTGGCGTGATCTCGGGTTACTGCAATCTCTGCCTTCTGGGTTCAAGCGATTCTCCTGCCTCAGCCTCCCAAGTAGCTAGGATTACAGGCGTGCCCCACCACACCCAGCTATTTTTTTTGTATTTTTAGTAGAGATGGGGTTTCACCATGTTGGCCCGATGGTCTCAATCTCCCGACTTTGTGATCCACCCACCTTAGTTTCCCAAAGTGGTGGGATTACAGGCGTGAGCCACTGTGCCCGGCCATATCTATCATTTTTAGACAACAAAGTAAGCATCCAAACTGTTACTACAGGTAACGTTTCTTGATTAGAAGTTCAATTAAATTAGCAGCCAACATTAAGAAGACATTTAGAGAAAAAACAATACTTTGCAAACAAATAACATTCTAAATATTCATGGGTTATAGGCCGGGTGTGGTGGCTCATGCCTGTAATCCCAGCACTTTGGGAGGCTGAGGCAGGTGGATCATTTGAGGTCAGGACTTTGAGACCAGCCTGGCCAACATGGTGAAACGCTGTCTCTACTGAAAATGCAAAAATTATTTGAGTATGGTGGCACACACCTGTATTTTCAATGACTCGGGAGGCTGAGACAGGAGATTCACTTGAACCCGGGAAGTGGAAGTTGCAGTGAGCTGAGATCATGCCACTGCACTCTAGCCTAGGCAAGAAAGACTTCACCGCA